TTTTTCTTCCTCCCCCACATCTCTACCCACGCTGTCGTAATCTTACAAGTGAGATGAACCTACAAGTGTACCTCCAATGCCCGACGCCTCAGGCGGGGAAATGATGTTGACTTGCCTCCCAGATTCAAACAAACGAAAGGATAGTGAAATGAATGAGAAGATTAAGTACGATTATTCAAATAAAAATAACCGAAATTATAATAAAACAAGGTTTCTCAAATAGAAAATTGATATATTTGGGGGATAATTCAGGATCTGTCCAGCTTTATGTCATGCAAAGGACAGTGGCTGGGTAATCGGTAGTTCTGATTCTCTGTCATTTATCACTGGGAGGTCTTGGTCATGCGAGTTCCCTTTTCTGGGCCTCAATTTCTTCATGTGTAGTAAAAGGGGGTTAAACTATAGCAGCTGTTTTCAAGCTTTTCTGGCCAGAATCTATAGTAAGAAAAACATTTTACATCACAATGTAGTATACACACACACACACACACCAACAAATCTAAAACAAATATTTTATGAAACAACCCTTACCCTGATTTTATGTGATGCATTCTGACATTTTCTATTCTATTCTTTTTCATATTTTTAATTGCTGGTTATGACCCAATAAATTGACTTCATGCCCTCATTAATGCCTCGCAATGCAGTTTGAAGAACACTGAACTAGTGGCTATCTAATGGCTCCTACAGTTCTAGTATTTTAAGATTTTATGTTATGCCATTATCTTCTTTTTAGAATAATATTAACAATCACTAGCATTCATTGAACCGATAGTATGTGCCAGACGCTGTTTTAAGCACTTTATCCATATGAACTTACTTAATTTTTCAACAACTGTGACTACTTTCATTAGTCCAATTTTAAAGATGAGGAAAATTAATGTGGCTGTTATCTGCACACCAAATTTAGTGACTACCAAAATTAATTTCATGATATATTTAAAGTGTTTCAAATATCTTAGAATATCGCCATTTAATAAAATAAAATATTATCTTGTCTGCTCTTACTACTTTACACTTGGGGGGTGACTATAACAGATCATCCAGATCTGAGGGGAGGAAAACAATCAATAACCTAAATGATACCTATTATTGGCCCTAAAAGTCATTTACTTACTCTGTTGTGTAAGTACGCGAAAACTGACACTTATAATGCCACATCAGGGCACATTTATACATAGGCATGATAACTACCCAAGTAGACACCTTAATTCTTAGGGACAGGCACTATCAGCAGATTGTCAGTAGAACAATACGAGAATCCAAATGTGTGCCCATACGTCACTGTACATCTTTATTGTGTGTAGTATTGTAAAACAAAACAAAACAAAACAAAACATGGGTTCTATTTTTTCCTGATTCCAGTAATTAACTACTGAGCACCACTGCCAGTATTCATCTTTTATGAATTAGCTGGAAGGGCTTAGACTATGATGCTACAATATCACTATGCATAAACTTTACCGAGTATATCATTTAGGGGGTCCTGATGGAGCAGATTTGAAAGATTTCGAACCAGTTCTTTTTGGATAAATAATAGAAATAGTTGCTATTTAATGTTGCAGTAAATCCAATAAAAATCCAAAACTTCATTTATTCATTTAACAATTACTATTGAGCCCCTACTATGTGCTACATACTTATTTTTGCACTGGAGAATAAGCAGCAAATATAATAAAGTACCAACACTCAGGGAGCTTAATTATTTTGTGTTTTGTAAGTTTGGATTTGTGTTTATTGTATTTGTTTATAGAGAGGCACGCTTATATGTATTCCCTTTGGTGGAGAGGCAGTGGAAATTACATGTTTCATTTATTTAAAATATTTCAGTGCCTTTTCTACATGGCAGTAAAGAAAGAACTATGCAAAACAAAACAAAACAAAAAAGGAATAAATCGGTTTTTGCTCTTAAAAAGCTTACAGTCTAGTTAAATTAGTGGTTCCTAAGCAGGGGCAATATTGTCCCTCAGGGCACATTTGTCCACGTCTGGAGATATTTTTGGTTGTCATGACTTGAGTGGGGGAGGGATTAGTCCTACAGACATCTGATTGGTAGAGGTCAGGAATGATGCTAAACATCCTCCAGTGTACAAGACATCCCCACTACAAATAATGTTGTGTCCCAAAATGTCAAGAGTGTCCAAGCTGAGAAACCCTGAGTTAGAGGGACAAACTTCATACATTAGAAGTTTTGTGTTTAATTACAAGATATTTGATGATAAATGCTAAATGAGTGATACATACAAGGTGATACTGATGAGAGAGAGAGAGAGATCATTCTAGAATGAATTGGTTATGGGAGTCTTCATGAAGGAAGTGGGGCTCAACCTCCTGCTCAAAGCAGAGGAAAGCCCGCAGAGCCCTGCTACCTCTCTGACTTTATCTCCTATCACTCTCCCCCTCACCCTTCCACTCCAGCCAATGGCTTTTGCATTTCCTGTAAGCATTCTTTTATCTCATGGAATCTGCTTTTGCTGTTCCCTCAGATTCAAAAGTCCTTTCCCAAGATATCCATATACCCACTCCATCACTTCTTGTAAGTCTCCACTCTGTTCAGTCTTTTAATAGAGAGCCCTTCCCAAATCATCATACTCCTTGATATAAAATATTAACTCCTGCCCCCTCCACTCCCTTTTCCCTTATTATGTTTTTTGGTCTCCATAGCAAGATTGTACCTGGCCCAGAGCAGATACTCAAGAAATATGTGTAGAATGAATGAATTTGTTAAATATTAATAATGTCAGGGTTTTTCAGCTCAAGCAAATGAGAAGAAGCTTGACTAAAGGAGCCTAACTACTGTGATTCCCAATGGCCTAGAACAGTGCGTGCCTCATAGTAGGGAATTCATAAATAGTTAATAAACAACGATGAAATAGAGAGCAAAAGAAAATTAGTATAATCAAAACAAACCTATAACCATCTTTGAAAAGTATTCTTAGGACAATTACTACACTCTCTCATTTTATTGCGCTTCACTTTACTGCGCTTCACAAGTATTCCGTTTTTTACAAATTTGAAGGTTCAAGACTTCAGAGGAGAAAGTAACTTCAGCTGTGGCGGAAATAGCAAGAGAACTAGAATTAGAAGTAGAGCCTGAAGATGTGATAGGATTGCTGCAGTCTCATGATAAATCTTTCAGAGATGGGGAGTTGCTTCTTATGGATGAGCAAAAGTGGTTTCTTGAGATGGACTCTATGCCTAGTGAAGATGCTGTGAAGACTGCTGAAATGAGAACAAAGGATTTAGGATATTATGTAAACTTAGTTGATAAAGCAGAGGCATGGTTTGACAGGATTGACTCCAATTTTGAAAGAAGTTCCCACTGTGGGTAAAATGCTATCAAACAGCATCTCATGCTACCGAGAAATCATTCATGAAAGGAAGAGTTAATCAATGGGACAAACTTCATCCTTGTCTTATTTTAAGAAGTTGCCATAGCCACCCCAACCTTTTAGCATCCATCAACCTGATCAGTCAGCAGCCATCAACACTGAGGCAACCAGCAAAATGATTAGGACTTGCTGAAAGCCCAGATTACAGTTACCATTTTTAGCAATATTCTTAAATTAAGGTACGTTCAATGTTCTTTTTAGCCATGATGCTATTGCATAGTTAATAGACCACAGTGTAGTATAAACATAACTTTCTATGCATTGGGACACCCCAAAATTCCTTTGACTCGCTTTATGGCCCTATTCACTCTATTGCGGTGGTCTAGAACCAAACCTGAAGGGTCTCAGAAGTATGTCTGCATACTAGCACACCTGGGCACATATAACAAATGGCCTATTTTTAATTTGGACTATTCTTTTTTTTAAAAGATTTTATTTATTTTTCAGAGAGCGAGCGAGAGAGAAGCAGCATGAGAGGGGAGAGGGTCAGAGGGAGAAGCAGACCCCCTGCTGAGCAAGGAGCCCGATATGGGACTCCATCCCGGGACTCCGGGATCGTGACCTGAGCCGAAGGCAGACGCTTAACCATCTGAGCCACCCAGGCGCCCTAATTTGGACTATTCTTACCAGCTTTTTCACTTTATAGTCATTCCGCATACATTCCTTGTAGTTTAGAAAAGCAGTTTCTGGGCGCCTGGGTGGCTCAGTTGGTTGAGCGACTGCCTTCGGCTCAGGTCATGATCCTGGAGTCCCGGATCGAGTCCCATATCGGGCTCCTTGCTCAGCAGGGGGTCTGCTTCTCCCTCTGACCCTCCCCCCTCTCATGTGCTCTCTTTCTCATTCTCTCTCTCAAATAAATAAAATCTTTAAAAAAAAAAGAAAAGAAAAGCAGTTTCTGACATTCTGTATCTTCGCTGTTAAGCCAGGTATTGTATAAAACATAAGCACATTTTAAGAATTCTAACCTAAACGCAGCTCTCTACCAAGCCAGTTCTATAATTCTCTGTTTTCGTTTGCACTTAATCACTAATTCACCAACGCTGCACTCAGGGAGTCACTACAGACAATTATGCTAATGCTCATAGCAAGAGCAACTAACGTTTATGGCGGACTTTTTGTGCTAGGGTCTTTCCCGAAGGCTTTGCCTACATTACCTGGTTTTGTTCATACTATAGGAGACCTGTGGTATGGCATTCATGTATATTAATGAACTCTAATTTACTTTCTGTAGCTGGCCCAAGGCCCCAACCCCCAAACACCTGAGCTAGGACGGCTCATACCCCGCTTCCAGCCACTTCCTCTTTTCCATTGCCTCTCAGCACTCTCCTTTCTGGAAGAGCCACCAGTGCTCCTCCTCCTCCCTCTTGCGACGTTTTGGGAACCATGGCGACCAACGCTGTCCCTCCCCCTCCTCCTCCCCAGACGACCCGGCGGGCACCAGGTGGGAGGATCTGCTACGTAACCGCGCGTGTGACTGCCTAGTAACGGTGCCTGCGAGTTGGAAGCGCGCCCAGAGAGGGGTGGGGCGAGAGAGCTGACGCCGGCACGCGGAACGTCTTTGCAGCCTCGCTTCGGGGGCGGAGCCTTGCCAGTCCGCGGGAGCAGAGTAGCTAGCGATCGTCGCCCAAGCGCGCGGTTTCTTAGTCCTCAGCTTTGGACCGGGCAGCGTAGCTTTGAGGAGTGAAGAGAGTACGCAGTTACCCCACAATGTCTGGTGAGTTAGGTCAGCCTCAGGCCGGCCCCTCACATGCCGGGCTAGATTTTCCGAATCCTGAGAGAAATCGGGCTGGGGTCCCGGGAGGGGTGATCCGAAGGGCCGGTGCCCATGGGCGCAGGTCCTGGATCCAAAAGGTTCTTGAGCAGATAACGGATTCACCTCTGCAGTGGGTCACCCCGTCGGAGGTGGTGCCTGTCGCTGTGCTGGCCGTCCAGAGGTACCTGTTAGAGGATGAGCCACGCGACACGATACCCAAACCTCCCCTTTACTGCTATGATGTGACGATCTCGGACGGGGTGTACCAGGAGAAGTGCTACCTGGACCCCAGCCTGAACTTTCTCGTATATAAAAATATTCTTAAAGTTGGCATAGAAATGAAAATTTCCAGAGTCTCGTGTCTTTACAACGAGAAAAGATTAGGCCAGGGGATCCTGTGCATAGATAACGTCCACTGTGGGGAGACCCTGGAGGCTATTTCTCTAGAAACTCCATTCAGAAATAGTGCGCACGAGGAGGTACCGGAGAGGCCTTTAAGAGGCGGGAAGAGTCATTACCTGGCCCTGTGGAATAACGAAGATCCATATGGAGATATTTGGTTAACCAACAAGCAACCCGAGGAACACAATTTTAACAGTAAGTAATGGGAGGGAATGATGGAGGGGTTAAAAAATAGTTTTCGGGAGCTTGCGTTAATGGGAAAGGAAAGGAGGGTGCATTGGTATTGTTCATTTCAAGCCGCGAGTGGGAATAAACAAATGCTCCTGGATGTCGAATTGGCGCTCCCTTAATGAAATTTGCACAGCCCGTGTCTTGCTTCGATTATTCAAGTGGCCATTCAGGAACTGTCTGAATACATCTCAGATTTAATCTGGCATATATACTTGTGTGTGCGTTTGCCTACGGTGGAATTATCTTTCGTTTCATTCCCATTCCACTTGTGGAAATAGTACTTTTCTGTGTTGGTTGGCGAGTGTATAGATTTGAATTTGGCATAAAAGTCGTAAATATTCGTGGTTTTGCATGTTTTAACCTTCATTCCAAAAAGGATGTTCCGTGATTTATTCCTTAATAATTTGCATTAATGAAACGCCATTTTTATGTCTTTGAGTGTAGCAGTTATGTAAATACTGCTTTTTTGAATGTGTGATTTTTGTGGACAGGCTTGGAATTTTCATTTTTATGTTTCTTATTGCGTATCACGGACAATACTGACCTGAGAAGTTTAATTCTTCCGTACCACAAGTAGGAAGTTAGCCTGAAAATGCCTGTTCGTCATCAGCAACTGCTGTAAAACATATTTTATCAGGGATGGAAGGGGAATGATAGTACTATAGGCATGTACGTATATGGAACGGGGACCAAATAAAACCCCCAAAAAATAAAATAAAGGCGGAAGTACTCAAGGAAGAAAGATAATTTTCTACATTTAACGGCTTTTCAGTTTTTTCTTTTTACATTGCAGTCATAATATTAGCTCATATATAGTCTTGCTATGACGTGTATCAGCAACAGGCTTGAAAGTGAAAAGACAGAGGGATCAAAAATATGCAATTAAAGTAATATCCAGTTATAAGGGGAAAAAGATGTTATAGAAATGTGTGGACAAGGATGATTTAAATAACTTAAGCTTTAAAAGCAAGATAGTAATTTCGGGGATGAAATAATGGAATGATTTTTATCTCAAGCATGGACTAAGGCGGCACTGCATTACTACTCTTAAGTGTTGATCATTTTTATTTTTAGGCTTGAATACATAAATGAAAAATTGGTGTCTAGAAGAATTAAGAGGGGAATAATAATTTGTAAAAATATATTTCATTTTTCTGACTATGAAAGTGATATCCATTATTGAACACATATTTTTATTACAAAAGGCAATGTCCATGTGCTAAAAAATCCAAACTATATTTAGAAGTATATTGTTGGCTAGCAAGAAAAAGAGCAATACAGACTGAAAAGCAAACACTTATTGAACACCTAATGGGCAAGATAATATTAAAAGTACTTTATTTGTGTAGACATAAAAAAGTATATTGTATTAAAAGTGTAAGACCCAGGTATAGTAAAATTTTGATGACAAAATCTAGAAGGGGGTATATAGGTGTTCTTTCAAGTTTGCTGTATGTTTAAAATTTTCAATAATAAAATGTCGGGGTGGAGTGAAAGACCCCTTTACCTCCTCCTCCTATGCCTTCAACTTTCCTCTCAAAACTCCAAAGGTTCAGCAGTTTGGTGTGTATCACTGAAAAAAAAAAAATTCTGTGGCGTGGCATGATTTGTTGTTTACACTTATCTCAAGCATCTTTAATGTACATCTGCACATACACACTTCCACAGTAAGGGTATACCATAATTTATATAATCATGCTCATGTGAATGGGTAATTATCAATTTTAGGCAGTTACTGGTTTTTCAGGTTTAGATCCAGCACTGAACATCATTAGGATATACACATACTTGTTCTTTATGTTCAAGTAGTTCTGTTAAATGGATAGATTCCTAGAAGTGAAATTGCTGGGTTAAAGAATATTTAAATTTTTTAATTTGATGGATATTGATAAATCATCTTCTGAAAAGGTTTTACCAATCTATATTCCCCCTAACGTATGTATGAATGCCCATTTCCCCATATTGTGCTAATTTTAAATTATATCTCTTGACTTTTCTGATTTCTTTGCTAATGGGTGGTATTTGCTATATATTGCAAATTACATTCTCACACTCTGTCCCCTTTCTTTTAACATTGTTTATGGTGCACTTTTGTGCTTTTTTAAAACTTTTCTATTAAGGTATGATATGTACAAAGTGTTAAAGTCTTAAAAATACAGCTTGAAAATAAAGCTTGAAACCATCCCCACCCCTGCCCCCAGATCAAGATACAGAACATTTTAAGCATCTCAAAAGTCTCCCTAAGGCCCTCTCCTGGTCAATATCCTACTCCAAAGGTAACCAATATGGTGATCTAAAAGACAGCTTTTCAAAATGGAAGTTAGATCTTGCCAATCTCCTGTCTAAATCTCTTCAGTGGCTCCCCATTGCACTTAGACAACAATCCCGACCTCCTGTCAGGGTGCGCAAGGCCCTGTGGTGTGGGCAAACTTTCTTTAAATGGCCAGATGGTAAATCTTTTTGCCTTTGTCGGTCATATAGTCTCCAGTCACAGCTATTCAACTTGGCCAGAGTATAGCAAAAGCAGCCATAGGCAATATGTAAATTAATGGGTTTGGCTGTTTTATAGTAGAACTTTATTTACAAAACCTGGCAGCAAGCCAGATTTAGCTCAAGGGCTGTAGTTTACAGGCCCCTGCCCTGCCCAGTCCCCTTACTCACCTCTCTAACCCTTCTCCGCCACCATTTCGTTTCCAGAATACAGGCCTTTTTTTTTTTTTTTTTTTTTTATCTCAAACCTCCTTGCTCTTTCCTTCCTCTAGTATGTTGCTCCTGCTTTTTTCCTCTTTCTGGAAAGTTCCTTCCCATCTTCAGGTTTCAACTCGAATATATAAAATATGTTAGAAAAGGGTTGTTTAGGGTGCCTGGGTGGCTCAGTTGGTTAAGCGACGGCCTTCGGCTCAGGTCATGATCCTGGAGTCCCGGGATCGAGTCCCGCATCGGGCTCCCTGCTTGGCGGGGAGTCTGCTTCTCCCTCTCCGGCTCCCCCCTCTTGTGCTCTCTCTCTCTCTCACTCTCTCTCTCAAATAAATAAATAAAATCTTTAAAAAAAAAAAGAAAAGGGTTGTTTAAATATGTATTCCCTCCCCATTTATTGTTATTGCATCACCATGGAAATGCCCTTCATAGGATTGATAACACTCTGAAATTATTTTTTCTGTTGTTTTCTTTTTCCTCCCACTGATTTATAAGATCCATGAGGGCAAGGAGTCTGTTTTTTTTCACTGCTGTGAGGCATTTCTCCTATACCCAGAACAGTGTCTGCCATGTGGTAGGCGTTCAGTAAGTGTTTGTTGAATAAAGGAATGCATAAAATAAATTACATTAATGGATTTTCTAATGTTGAACCACTTTTATATCTCTATTTGGTCATGGTTGTTATATTTACATACATATTTAAAGTGAATTTGTTCCATAGATTTTACTTTTTTAGGCGGTTACTATTTCAGCCCAATATTGATATCAGGTTAATTAATATTAGCTAGTAGAATGAGTTGGGAAACTTGCCTGTTTTTCTGTGCTTACAGAAATCATTTGTTCACTGAAGGTTTGGTAGAATTTACCCCTAAAACTATTTGAACCTGGGGCCGTGGTCCAGGATTGGGGGTTGAGAGAATGACTCCTTTTCAGTTTCTCATAGAAAAAGTAATGAAATCAATAACACTTCTTCTTGAGTCCATTTGTGAGAGTTGATATTTTACTAGGAAATCTCATTTCACCTAGATCTCAAAGTTGTATGCAGTAGTCTCTATTTTTAAATTTTAGTTTATATTTTTAAAATATTTTAGTCTTGTTTCATCCTCTTTTACATTCCTAGTATTTATGTGTTTACCCTTTTTTATGGTCATCCTTGCCAGAGGCTTGTCTATTAGTATTTAAAAAAAAAACACTTTTAGCTTTACTAATTAAGTCTATATTGGGGAGATGTTTTCTACTTTATTAACACATATCTTTAATTTCTTGTATTTCCTTTGTTCATATTTTTTTGTACTACCTTCTTAAGTTGAATGCTTGGTTCACTTATTTCCTTATTTCTTTCTTCCAAAAGCTTTTAAAATTCCAAAATTTCCCATGGATACTGCTGTGGCTGCATACACTAGGTTTTGAAGTGTAGAGATTTTATTTTTACTCATTATTCATATTTTCTGATTTTAAATTTGAGTTCCTCTTTAACCCTCAAAATTTTAGAAAAAGCTTACTTATTATATATGAAGTCTATTATAACAAGTTTTTAAATTATTTTAAAGATTTTATTTATTTATGTTAAGAGAGAGAACTTAAGTGGGGGGTGGGGGAGGATGAGAAGGGGCAGAGGGAGAGGGAGAAGCAGACTCCCTACAGAGCAGGGAGCCCAGATGCAGAGCTCGATCCCAGGACCCCAGGATCATGACCTGAGCCAAAGGCAGCCACTAAACCAACTGAGCCACCCGGGCGCCCCTATAACACGTTTTTAAATTTTAATTAAAGTATTGCAGTTCTTATTTTAAATCGATTTTATTTGCCCATTTCTCTGAGAGGAATATTGGCTTCTCTTTATGACAGTGGTTTTGTTCATTTCTCTTTGTATTTCTAAAAGTTTTTGATTTAAATGTATAATGTATAAAATTTTATAACAGTAATATCTTGTTGGTGGATTTTTAGCCTTTTATCAGTATGGAATTTTTTTGTCCTTTCATGCCTTGCATTCTATTTTGTCTTGATAGTACTATTTACTACTGCTGCTGTCTTTTAGTTGGCATTTTGGGCAGTGGTTCTCAAACATGAATGGGCATCCATATCACTTCAAAAGTGTTTTAAAATGCAGATTTCTGGGCCCCACCACCAGTTTCTGATACAGTAGGTCTGTGGTAGGGCCCTAGAATTTGCATTTCTAAGAAGTTCACTGGTGCTAATGATGCTGGTGGTGCAAAGGCCACATCTGGAGAACTGACCTAGTGTACGTATCTTTGTCCATCCCTTTATTTCTATTTTGTTTTACATTTGTCTTTTTAAAGAAATACATAGCTAAGATTTGGGGGTTTTGACCCAAACCAGTTCTTTTTCTTTTAAGAGATGGATTTAATCCAATTAAATTTAAAGTCATTAATGATGCTTTTGTACCTGTTCTCGCAGAACTACTTTATGTTTACTATACGGCATGCCTTATTTTTTTTTTTCCTTTTGCAAGATTTAAATTTCTTTTTCTTCTAGTGCTTTAGAAGTTATACATTAATTTGTATTCTCCTAGAGGTTACCCTTAATGTTTCAACAAAATTATTTAAACTTTGATTTTTGTGTCAATCTCCAGAATTATTCACAATTTATAATATCTTCCTCTTGAATAATACAAGGTGTTTAGGACTGTACTTAGTCATGATGCAATTTGGCATTTTGCTATATGGGTTTAAAAGTATTTGATTGAGGATATTTGCCATCATAAATGATTTGGATTTATGGGTTGTTTTTTTTTTTTTTCCTGTGTACTATTTTTGTCATAATTTTTCAGGATTTAACTATGTTTATAAAATTAATTGTTAGAACCTGGTGCCATTTTTAGAGGTCATTATTTGTGAACTTTTTCACTTTCTTCCATGGATATTGACCTATTCCAGTTTTCTTCTGCTTAAGGCAATATTGATAATTCATATTTTCCTAGAAGATTATTAATTTCACTGATATTTTCAAGTTTAGTGATATATAATCACATATAATCATATTTTTCTCTAGGTTTATAGTTGATCACATTTCAAACATATTTTTGTTTTCTGTCTTCATGGTTGCACTTGTCAGAGGTCTACCTTTTCATTAATTTTTCCAGGAATTGGATTTAACAGTTCTGTGTTTTTCTAATACATTATTTTCAACTCTTTATTCCTTTTTGCATTCCTTAGATTTATTCTTTTGCAGTGGTTTTCATTGTATGGTTCAAGGACCTCTAGAGATGTCCCCAAGACCTTTTCAAGGGATTCACATCAAAACTATTTTCATAATAATACTACTAAGACTTCATTTACCTTTTATCACTTTAATTCTCTGAAAGTATGTGGTGGAGTCTTCTAGAAGCTACAGGACATGTGACATTGAAACAGACTGAATGCCAAAGAAATATGAGTATCCAGCTGTCTTCTATTAAGCTAGACACTAAAAAGATTTACAAAAATATAAACTAGTGCTCCTCTTCTCACTAGATTTTTTTGTTTTGGAAAATAGAGACATTTTTCAAAAATATATATATATTTATATTATACATAATAGGTTTATTGTTTTTAAGGAAGTTAATGAATAATTTTTTATTTCTTAGTTTTACTTTATAATATGGCAAGTGTTGATAGATATTACCCACATAAATAAAAGCTTTTTGAGGTCTTCAGTAATTTTTAAGAATGTAAAGGCTCCTGAGACCAGAAAGTTTGAGAATCACTGTTCCATAACTTGCTATCTAACATTTTATATTGAATATCCAGTTTATTTATTTTCATTCTTTCTTTTGAAAATGAACACATTTTTGTGAATTTATACAGATTCTTCACTGTCTATGTATAGCGTGTAATTTCTTTTTGGATTTGAGAGATATGTATATTCTATGAAGTTTGTGAGTTAAAAACCCAAACTGGGAAAATATTAACCAGGCAGATGTCTGATCAGAGCTAACTCTGTGGACTCAGTTATAGTGGAAGCAGTGGCTTTTAGAACTCTGGTTTTACAAAAGCATATAACTCTTGAATTTATTCTAGTTAGTGAAAGCATATGTGCCTTCATTGACCAAGAGTGTTCCACGTACATTTCAGATAATTCAGAACTGATCCAAAATTCATCTGACCTAATTAAAAAGGAAATCAGTTATGTCAGAGAAAATATTAGGACCTATGATTCTGAGCTATAAATTTTTTGGAAGAATGTAGAAGGAAAAGTATACAAGATATCTGAAGACTAAAAATAGTATGTTTTTTATGATACGGGTGTAACTACAGCATTCCTCTTAAATTCTTATTAAAAAGAAATTACAAATATGGTTTTCATACCAAAATGTTGAGTAGGTGATGCATTATGTAAATTAAAATAAGTGGGAGATATCTTGTGAAATAAAATACTGGAATAAATACAAATTCAGGTTTTAAAAGTTGGGATTGGACTATGAGAGAGCAAAATGTAGACGGAATTGCAGATGGAACCTCTCTTAACCCAGAGAAGAATAAAATAAAAAATACAAGTTAATCTTTTAAAGATGGTGAATAGCTTTTAAGCAGTTTTTGTATTTGCCAGCAGGCATGGAGATTAAAATTTCAAAGTAAATTGTATGACATATGAGAAGATAATGAGTACTATGTAGAAAAATAAGATGGGATGAGGCATAAGAAAAGGGATCGCTTTTCAATAGGGTAGTAAGGGATAACATCACTGAGAAAGTGACCTTTGAGCAAAACTTGAAGGAGAGGAGGAGGGAAGTCACTCTGGTATCTAAGAAGACATTCCAGGGGCACCTGGGTGGCTCAGTTGTTAAGTGTCTGTCTTCGGCTCAGGTCATGATCCCAGGGTCCTGGGATCAAGCCCTGCATCAGGCTCCCTGCTCAGCGGGAAGCCTGCTTCTCCCTCTCCCCCTGCTTGTGTTCCCTCTCTCGCTGTGTGTCTCTCTCTGTCAAATAAATAAATAAATAAATAATCTTAAAAAAAAAAAAAAGACATTCCATACAGAGGGAACAGCAAGTGCAAAGCCCCTGGTACAGGACTATGTCTGGCATGTTTGGGAAATATAGAACTTACACATATAAAACTACGGTGAGGGCAATACAGAAATATGTCATAAAACAATTCTGTAAATTAAACATGTAAGTGCTTGGTAGTGGGAAAATATTCCATGGCACTGAGTTTCTCCCACAAAATTTCTTAAGGGAGATGAGTTTATTGAAGTATAATTAACATACAATGTTATATTGGTTTCAGGTGTACAATATAATGATTTAACTGTACTATACATTTCTCAGTGCTGATCAGAACATGTGTTCTTTTAATCCCCTTTATCTGTTTCACCCATCCCCCCACCCAGGGGGAGATGAGTTTAGATCCAAGCCTTTCAGGAAGTAATTACCCAGTTTGACAAGGCAGAGGGCATTCAAGATGGGATAGTATATTAGTTAATATAGGTATTTACCTTTGTGCCACGCACATAGTAAGGCATATTTATGTATTAGCTATTTTTTTTAGAGAAAGAGAATGCATGTGCGCGAGAGAGTTGGAAAGGTGGTAGGCAGAGGGAGAGAAAAAGTCTTAAGCAAGTTAAGCAGGCTCTCCACACTCAGCGACCCTGAGATCATGACTTGAGCCGAAATCAAGAGTTGGCCACTTAACTGACTGAACCACCCAGGCACCCCTATATATTAGCTATTATTATTAAGGATAGCATGTATTATTAAGTTTTGTACGTGAGAAGTATATAGACTGGCCTAGCTGGTGAGTAGAAGTTGCTTCGGGGATGATCTAGCTACCATTTTTAAATTACAATTTTTAAATTACATGACATATTAAGTAGGATTTTTTTTCTATTTTATTTTTTTATTCTAGATACCAAAATAATTTCCCTATCTCACCTTGAAATGACCTGGGCTAACAGAAGGAATTTTCCTGCATTGCTTGTGAGAATCTTACATAAATCGAAACTGCGATACTATGGAAAACCTGATAAAAAGATGATTGAGCCGTACCAGGTATAAGTAATGACAAGATATTACATGTTAATGTAATAGTTATAGATTATAGCTTATAGACCTGACTCCATATTAGGGTAATTTATGTTCAAATAATATTTTATAAGTTTAATTTAATAATTTTTAAAACATACATAAATGTATATTTCAAGGTATTTTTCTATAACTTCTTACACAAAAAGAAATTCTTTCTGTATTGGTACCTTGTAGTTCCCTGATTCAACTGGTCTCCTTCACACTTTTTTCTGTATCTTCAGCCTTTTCTTCTCTACTGTGCTTTCTGCACCAGCATAGAGACATACTCTAGTCTTTCATTTTAAAAAAATACAAAAATCTCCTTTGACCTCAGGACTCCTCTATTCCCTCTCTTCTTCTCTTCTGGCAAGCTCCTTGGAGAAGTAGTCTCTGCTAGATGTTTTCACTTTCTTACCTCCCATTTACTTTTCGACACAATTAGTTTGACTTTTTTCTTCAGCTGGTCACTCACTAGAGACCTTCTAATTGTCAAATCTAGCTGATACTTTTCTGTTATCTTGACTCTCTGTGCCACAGAATGTCAGTGAGAACTACCTTCTTGATTTCTGTCCTGTTTGGTTTCTTATTTAACATTTTACCATATTTTCACATGTTATCAAGAATTATTTTAAGTGTTTTATTAAGCCTTCATTATAACAGTTATACATACTTTGAGGGAATTTGGGAAATGCAGAAAGCTATATAAATAAAGCTGGTAAGTAATATCACCCCAAATTCTACCAGAGCCACTATTAATATCCAAGTGTTTTATTCCCTTTTTTGTATGTATATATCATGTCTACATACATACATAACATATATATGCACATATCTCACATCTATGTGTATATGTATGCATATCCTGTATTGCATGACTATGTCGTATATTAAATTATCTTACAAAATGGAAATCATATTGTACATACAATTTTGTATCACTTAACATTTCCTTAAGTATTTTCTATCACTGAAAATCATAACTTTTCATAGTTACAGATTGTATCATAACTTATTCAGTCATTCCCCTATAGTTTTGCTTTCTTGTTCTTAAAATGAGAATGCCCTGAGATAAAAGTAACAAATATGCATGTGCTATTTCACTCTTTTTTTCTAGACCTTTTTAGAAGTTGCTGACAGTTCAGGCACGGTGTCTGTGATTATGTGGAATGCCCTGTGTCCTGAATGGTATAAAAGTTTGCGGGTTGGTTTAGTTCTTCTGCTTCAGGATTATTCTGTTAAAAAGAGTTACCCATTCAGGATGCAGCCTCTACCGGTGGATCCACAGATCAAACTAATTTCTACAATGGGTTAAGTATTCGATAAATTTACTGTTTTATGGCTATTTTGTTTGTATAAATTTGTAAAGTACCATATCAACCAAAGGCTCCTAAAAATTGCTGAATCTGTTAGAACGTGGGGAACTTTTAAATTCCTTTACTATACAAATTTTAAGCAATCACTTAATAAATTATTTATTATTGCATTTACTAAGAAATAGTGTGAGATATTTATTGTTGATTAATGAATGAGCTCCACTTAGGATGTACTTTTTTTGTTCTATTTTTGTATTATAATACTAAATTAATGACTTGAATATACTTTTCTGTTACTGTAAGGTGCTATTCAAAAAGGCTTTTGTCAGCGTTTTACTTTGAAATAATTTCAAACTTGGGCGCCTGGGTGGCTCAGTTGGTTGAGCAACTGCCTTCGGCTCAGGTCATGATCCTGGAGTCCCTGGATCCAGTCCCGCATAGGGCTCCCTGCTCAGCAAGGAGCCTGCTTCTCCCTCTCACCCTCCCCCCTCTCATGTACTCTCTCTCTCCCTCTCATTCTCGCTCTCTCAAATAAATAAATAAATCTTTAAAAAAAAGAAATAATTTCAAACTTAGGTAAAAGTTGAAAGAATAGTACAAAGAACGCCATATACCCTTTACACGGATTCAACAGTTGTTAACATTTACCTTAACTTTATCATTCCCCACCTCTCTCTCTATATATATTTGTCCTCTGAAACATTTGAGAGTAAGTGGCAGCCATCACACATACCCCTTTACCTCAGAACACTTCAGTAATATTTCAGTGTGTATTTCCTAAGAACAGGAACATTCTATTCTATAATCACAGTACAGTTATCAAAATCAGGAAATTTAAAATTGATAAATTGCTGTTATCTAGCCTGCGGTCAGTATTCAAATGCAACTGAATTGCTGCAATTTTGAAAAGGCTCTTCCTAATTAGTATTGAAATCAAAGTTTTGACATCTTGGCATCATGCTAAATATTTTTGGAGCATTACAATTATTAAGTGGTTGTTTTCAGATGGGGATATGAATTTTTTGCCTTTCCGTTTTTCAAAATGGTAGATTATATCACTCAAGTTTAAGTATTGTTTTTGGCTCATACTAGTTTTATACTGGACCTGTAATTCTATGTATTTTAAATTCCCTACTAATACATTAAGCTAAATTACTTGGAGAATGTGCAGATAATATGGCCTTTGTTCACTGTGTCCTTAAATACATGTTTATTTATGAAAATCTCATATGATTCTTTATTAACGTCTTAAGGATTTGGTAGACATCAATCATGTCTTGCTGGATGAATAAGTCATTACCTAGTAGTTTAGTATAATTAGTCCATTATCTCATTGCTCTTTATTATAGAAAGGTAAGAAATTAAACTGATACTGATGTTGGGACTTGAGAATACAGGAAAAAACTGGCAAAAAGCTAATTTGCAACATGTATTATTATGTCTGTCAATTTGTAAATTCTTTCCACAACCAAGCATGGAAAAAAAATGCTTTAGTAAAAATTGAGACATTTGTCAATAACAGATAAGGTAAGGAAATTTGTTGATGTCACTTAATCACTGGCACAGTGAAAAGTAAAACCTAGTTTTTCTGACCCCTAACCTAGTGTTCTTTTTATGAGATACACTGTTTTTCTGGTGTAAAGAGAATTCATTTAAATCACAATTTTTACACGGCTGTGGGCAAATCTAGAAATGTGTCTGGTATTAATAGCTGTTTCTAAACCTTAAAAACATATGGAAAGTAGAACAATAGATAGCATGTGGTCAATAGATAAACAGCTACTAAAACTTAACACTGAAATTGAATCAAGCAGTATGCTACCTCTGCTATATAGAATTACAGGGCCAGATTTTCATAATGGAAACTCCCTTTAGACATGAGAGGCTATTTATACTTTCAGGTAAATAATTGCAAATATAGAAATTATTTTTTAAAATGAGAGACTTAGATGAGAATATACTGAAAATGTTTCTTTTAGTCTTTAAAACAGTTTTACTTTTTACCAGTGTTAGCATCAGTCTACTTTATCCCATACCTTTTTAATAAGGAATAGGACTTTTCCCCTCTTTATCAGGGGTCAGCGAACTATTTCTATAAAGGCAATATAGGTTCTGTCATAAGTACACAGTCTGCCTTTATAGAGTGAAAGCAAACAGAGGTAATATGTAAGGAATGGGCATGGCTGTGTTACAGTGAAACTTTATTTGCAAAAACAAGCAACCATCTGCAGGCTATAGTTTGCTGAGCCTACACATATATGCAGAGCTCAACCCTGGCTGGACATTACTATCGCTTGGGGAGCCTGAAAGAACCATAGGCATGCCAGGTTCAGAGATTTTGATCTGGTTACTCTGAGGAGGGAACCAAGACATTGATGTGTCTTTAAAAATCCTCAAGCGATTCTAATGCACAGCTAGAGTTGAGAACTACTGACTTATGATCTTTAAAAAGCTCAAATGGATTAATGATCTTTTGAAGGGAAATGACAGTTTTGTAAACCATGCTAGACACAAGAGATACAAAGATAAGTAATACAGCGTTCTACCCTTAAAAAATTAGTCTAACAGGGTAATATATTACACTGTATGTTAACTAACCAGAATTTAAATAAAAACTTGAGAAAAAATAGTCTAATTACAGTTCATTAAGATGAACAGATTACAATAAAATGAAGGATTAATGACAGTAAAAAGTAAGAAGATGTGATGAACAAAAGGGGAGAGGAAAGGAACAGAAATGTAGTTGAAGAAAGAATGAATGGTCAGGAGAATGGGAGAATGAGTTGGATAGAAGAAAGTGTGAGTGAGGATTACAAATAATACCAGGGTAGTTTAAATGTTATGAGTAGGATAAATGAGAAAAAGTATATATTGGGGGCCAGGGTTGGTCAGTAAGGGAATAAGGGCTTGTGGTACCATCACTGCCTTCTAGGTATTGATGTTGAAAGACAAACTATTGGGGTAATTGATCTTGGTTTATTTTTTCATATTTACATGTGTAGTTCCAAGTTACAGACACTAAGATACAATTTTTTTTAAAGACCAAATAAATGGAAGCCTATAAAGGTGAAAATTCTCTTGTAAAACATAGGATATATATATATATATATTTTTTTTTAAGATTTTATTTATTTTACAGAGAGAGACACAGCGAGAGAGGGAACACAAGCAGGGGGAGTGGGAGAGGGAGAAGCAGGCTCCCCGCTGAGCAGGGAGCCCGATGCGGGGCTTGATCCCAGGACCCTGAGATCATGACCTGAGCCGAAGGCAGATGCTTAACGACTGAGCCACCCAGGCGCCCCAAACATAGCATATATTTGCTAGTAATGTATGGTTTTGTATATTGTCATTTGGCATATAATTCTGTCCTACCTTTTATCAAATAGTATTCAGCTAGCATCCCAAATAAACATTTTAAAATCTTGAGATTTTTCAAACTGTATTGTATAATACCCACTGAGGTAATAGCATCAAGTATTTGGGGTTTTGGTGGGAAGGGGTTATTTATTTCATTCAAAATCTTAGCATTTTGGAGCTGGAAGGGAACTTAAATATAATCAGGTAACTATGACTATGAAAGTACTTTGTAAAATGCAAACTATTTTGTAGGTGCAAGGTAGTGTCATGTAATACAAACTTTCCTCACTTATATATGAAAAGACTGAAACTCTTAAAGGTAAAGTAAATTTTCTAATCACATGGATGCTAATAGGCAAGATGAGAAATCAAGTATCTTCATCCTGGTTTTTTTTTTTTTTTTTTTGAAACAGAGAGAGAGCATGCTCGAATGTGGGTGGGGGGAGGGGCAGAGGGAGAGAGAGAATTCCAAGCAGGCTCCACACCCAGCACAGAGCCTGATGTATGGCTTGATCCCAGGACCCTGAGATCATGACCCAAGCCGAAATCAAGAGCTGGATGCCCAACTGACTGAACCACCCAGGTGCCCCCTCTTCATCCTGTTTTAATCTTTGTTTGCTAAACAGCAAATTCTTAGAAAATATTACCTACTGCATAAAAGGGGATAGAAAGCCCTCTAAATAAATAGAGAAATAGCCCATGTTCCTAGGTAGGAAATCAGTCTCAATTTCATAAGTATGTCAAGTACCCCCAAATTGATCTGCAGATTCAGTGCTATTCTGTAAGATTTTTTTTTTTTCCGGAACTGACAAACTGACTAAAATTTATATGGAGGCACATAATTATAGAGACTAGTCAAGACAGTTCTGAAGAAAATAAGGGGCTGTAGAGAGAGTAAAGACTTCTCCTACAAATGTCATGAGTTATTATAAAAAATTTATGATCATGTAATATAGACAAACTGACCAGTAAATCACAATAGATCAAGAAATAGCCCTAAACACACAAAAATTTGATATGACAGGTGTGCTATACAGATCATCAAGGAAGGAAGAACTATTCAATAAATAGTATTGGAAAAAAAAATTACATACTTGAGAAAAAAAATGACATTATATCCCTATCTTATACCGTATAAAAAGTCAATTCCATATATAGCAAATGTAAAAGGCAAAACTTTTAGAAGAACTTATAAAGAAATATGCATTTGACCTTGGAATAAGGAAGGATTTCTTGGATAGGACACAGGAAATAGCATTTGTAAATGAATGATTAATAAACCCAACTTACATTGAAATATTTTTTGGGGTTTCAATTTATCTTTTTATTATAACATGAACTAAATTTAAGAAATTAGTCTTTTGACTTTATTTCCCAGAGTTGTTGGATCTAAATGACAATATAACTCATTATGAAAATATACTGAAAAATACAAGAGCTGATGTAAAATGGTTATCAAGGTTCCAGGTATCAAGGGATTAGAGAAAGTGAAGAATGAAACCAGTCAGGCTGCAGCCTGATAGACGCAGGATGCGCTGGTTTAGCAAGGTGCCATCAAGGCATAGGAAGATCATCAAATGTGTGGTGATAAGTCACAGCATGAGAAACATCTCCGTCAGGCAACTTCCTACCCTTTTTTGTTTGGTAAATTGAGTTTTTCTTCATTTAATAACTTAGGATTCTCTTAAACTAACATTTCAAAATTAAAATAATTCATCAATGGGGCGCCTGGGTGGCTCAGTTGTTAAGTGGCTGCCTTCAGCTCAGGTCATGATCCCAGGGTCCTAGGATCGAGCGCCACGTCAGGCTCCCTGCTCAGCGGGAAGCCTGCTTCTCCTTCCCCCACTCCCCCTGCTTGTGTTCCCCCTCTCACTGTCTCTCTCTCTCTCTCTCTCTGTCAAATAAATAAATAAAATCTTAAAAAAAATAATTCATCAAACAGGAGTCATTTTTATAGGTAAGGTAAATCACAGGATAATGTATTAGGAAAATTTTGTTCCTTTTTAAATCAGAAAGCCTTCAAGTGGTCAGGGATTGATGGAGTGGGGATGACAAATGTACATTTCAGATTTTCATCACCAATGAAAAAATAAAGCATTTTTATAGACTTAAAACTGTCAGTGCATTTAGATTTTGGTGAAGGAAAATTTAAAGTACCTCTACAATAATACAATGTTAATAAAAATTGGCCATGTACTGAGGTCATTTTAGTGAGCTACCATCATGTAAATATAAGAAAGGTAATTTCTTGATCCAAATCAGTGAAATTGTAAAAAAGATTGTCTCTAGAGGACATTTTTTGAGAACAGTGCTTTTTCAGACACATTCTGATATTCAAATTCACTTTATAGCACAATTATAGATTAATCTTTTAATTAATTTTTTTTTATTTTATTTATTTGTCAGAGAGAGAGAGAGCGCACAAGCAGGGGGAGCTGCAGGCAGAGGGAGAAGCAGACTCCCCACTGAACAGGGAGCCCGATGCAGGGCTCGATCCCAGGACCCTGGGATCATGACCTGAGCCAAAGGAAGATGCTTAACTGACTGAGCCACCCAGGCGTCCCTAATTACATTTTTCTTAAAAAGCTGTGAGATTTCTGTTTCTTTGGGAGATATTTTCACCACTACATTGTTCAATTCCACAGGTTAAGCTTTCTTCATTATTATTAAGAACTTCATACATGTTAGAGATATTGCTGTTCATTGCTTTCTCGTCTTTTCAAAAAGACACAGGGAGACTTGCTAGACTAAAGCTGACGTCTTTAAAGGCATGCAGCAAGAATATTCCCACAATGATCGTAAAGAAGTCACTCAAAGTACCAATGACATCATCAATAGGCTTATCTTGCCACTCCTTAAAAAGAAGAGCTGAACAAGTTAAAACTGATGTTGTAAAGAATAGGTAATATATTGGAGTCATAATGGAAGTGTTGAATATATCCAGGGCCCTGTTCGGGCAATTAATCTGTGTGCTCACACAGACTGTAAGGCTCAGCAGCAGGATCCAGGCCAGGGAATGTTGCAGCACAGGCTTTCCAGCAAACAGCTCTTTGATAGCAGTGCCCAGGCCCTTAACACAGGAGACTGAAAACGCTCCGATTACAGAGCAGATTGTTATGTACACAAGAATGTTTGTCTGTCCATGGCGGGGTCCAACCACGAAGATTAATATCAATGGCATAATAACCGCAAGTGTTGCAAAGACCACAAAACCTGGATCTCCCTGCTTGTGAGATATTTCAAGTCTCGATCTCCTCTTCTTTTGGAGCGTGAATGACCATAACTGTAGATCCTAGAATACTTACCAAATATCCAATTTTCCCATGAAGATTAAGTGTTTCATTTAGAAAGTATGAAGAAGGAATAGCACTTACTAGGACGCTGAGAGGCCCTATCAGAGTCACTAGGGTGGCTGGTGCACCTGCTCCCATTGATAGCAATCCAGCCCACGACAACCATTCTTTAAAATACGCATGACCACCTTGACCTGCTCTCATGGAGCCTTTCCTGGCAAGTCACAGAAGACTTGTTTTGTTTTTTGTTTTTTTTTCCAAAATGAAACCCCCGCCAATGAAAATGCTGGAGCTCATAGCCAATCCCAAACCAATGTAAAAGTCCTATTTTCCATGCTCCTGGATCATTTCGTTTGTTACTAAAGTTCTTGTGAGTCACAACAGAGAAACCACTGGTGCTGGAGGCAGGATTATGCAATCTTAAAATATGTAAGTTTAATATGATCTCTTTTACGAAAAAAAAAGGCTGGAAGCAGTTAGAGATGACTTATTCATTATCATTTCCTTATAAATAATACTGTTTATTCTCATCTTAAGTTTTAAACCCTGGCAGAGTAGCTCCAGCTCCACTTGGAGGCCAGCCATGCGGCTTCCCCATGCAGCATCCCCCCCACTATCTGGCCCTGGCGCGGCTTCCCCATGCAGCATCCCCCCCCACTATCTGGCCCTGGCCCTGGTCACCTCTGCTCACAGGCCCACGCAGACCTCATGGGCGGCCGCCCCTTGAGCTGGGGTGGGGACAGGGGAGGGTAGCACCTTTATCTCAGTACAGAAGGAGATGAGAGCATCTGGGGCTGCCAATTCCTCCATGGGGGAGTGTAGAGGGGAACCTGCCCCCCACGACCTGCGACCCCCCACTACCCCTACATTGAAATTAACTTTTTTTCATCAAAAGACACCATAAAAAGAACGAAAAGCAATGCACACATGGGTGAATGTATTTGCAATAATATAATCAACAAAGTATTAGTGTCCAATATATATAAAGAATTCCTTCAAATAAATAAGAAAAAACAGGGGCACCTGGGTGGCTCAGTGGTTAAGCCATTAAACGTCTTGGGGAGCCTAGGGTTGGAACCCAGTGTCTGCCTCCCTGCTCAGCAGGGAGTCTGCTTCTCCCTCTGCCTCTCCCCTGCTTGTGTTCTCTCTCTCTCTCAAATAAATAAATAAAATCTTAAAAAAAAAAGATAAAAATTCAATAGAAAAGTGGGCAAAAGACACAAGCAGGTATTTCACAAAAGAGGGTGCATGAGGGGCTCGTGGGTGGTGCAATTGGTTAAACGTCCAACTCTTGATTTTGGCTCAGGTTGGGATCTCAGGGTCATGAGATCAAGTCCTGCTTCCAGCTCCATGTTCAATGCGGGGTCGACTTACAAGACTCTCTCTCCCTCCCCCTTTGCCCCTCTTCCCCACTCTCTCTCTCTCTAAAATAAAAATAAATCTTTAAAAATAAAAAAAATTTAAAGATGATGCATGGATGTATCATAAATATATGAAATGTCATTCAACATAATTAGTAATAAGAGAAGTACAAATGAAGACCACAACAAATTGTCATTTTGTGTCACTAAATTGACAAAAAATAAATTTGATAGCAAAATTTGGAGAGGATACTGATCAATGGGAATTCCTACACATTGCTGGTAGAACTATAAATAGGTTAATTACTTGAAAATAGTTTAGAATTAGCCTGTAGAGTGGAACTTTTGTACATTGTACAATCCAGGGTTTCCCTCCTGGGTATAATACCCTAGAAAAATTTTGCCTGGGTGCACAGGGAGATATGTACAGAAAATTCATAGTGACCCTGTTTGTAATAGCAAAAACAGGAAATAGTACAGATGTCCATCAACACGATGATGGGTAAATGAAATTGTAATATATCAACACCCTGGAACATTATTCAGTAGTGGGAATAAGAATAAAAAAGCACTACATGCAGCTACATGGGTGAATTTTAGGACCATAATGTTGAGTGAAAAGGGTAGCCCTAGAACACTGAATATGGTATGAGTTCATCCATATAAAGTTAAACAAAACAAATAGTATTTTGTTTGGGCAAAAACATATAAATGACAAAAACTTTTTTTTTTTAATTAAGAAAAATGATAAAACACAAAATCTAAGAAATGGCTAACCTTTGGTCAAGAGATAAGTAGATATGATAATGTAGGAATAAGTAGAAGAAAGCTATTGATAATGGTCTAGTTCTTAGGGTTAGTGGTGGGCTCAAAAGAGTTCAGTCTAATATTTTGCTGTGTAATTTGTGCACATAGTATATTCTTTTATCTGTATTAAATGTCATATTAAAGTAATATATTTGTTTTTCAGAAATCTGCCTGAACCTTCGAGATCCTCCAACTAACATAATTATCATTCCAGAAAAGCAGGTGAAACCTGAATGGAGATTGCCAAAATTAAATCACCGCTTTATCACAAGGTAGAATACTCATGTAAAATACCTTAAATATTAATTTTTAACTTTAGCCACTGAAACAGTATATTATTATTGCTCAAAATCTACCCCAAATTATGGAGTATCAACTATATAGATATATATTTTCACAATCATAATTTTAGAATGCTTTTTCACTGTTTAAAGATACAATATTTAACAATTTTGCTTTTTTTAGGTCAGAACTGGATGATATGCCAGAAAATCACATCTGTGATGTTATTGGCATTTTAGTTTTTGTAGGAAGGGTCCAGCGGTCAAAAAAAAAAGGTAAGCTTTTAAAATTGAAAGCCATAAAAAATATTTTGGTGAATAGTTCTGTGCTCATATATGCATAATTGTTTACCTTCATTTATTCTAATATCCTATCCATATAGAAAACCGTGAAGATTTTTGGTCATATCGTTGGATTCACATCGCTGACGGGACTTCAGAACAGCCATTTATAGTGGAGTTGTTTTCTACATCTCAGCCAGAAATATTTGAGAATATTTACCCAAGTACTCAATCCAGTATTTGCATCTTTTTATTTTTGGAAATGGGGGCATTAACTTAAAATGTTAAAGTGTGTACTGATTTACAGGGTGGCACGATACTGAGTTAGCAAATTCAAGCAGTGTGATAGCATGTTTAAATTTTTTCTGTATTAATATTATATTTGGTATTACAGATATTAACCACCTTCTGGTTGTCTAGTCAGAATTAATTTGGGATTGAAACCAGTTTTTCAGAAAACAGGTGCTCTTATCAATTCTCATTATTAGCATTTCAGGCATAAAAGCTTAACATTCAGTGAAACTAAAACATAGGCAATCAGTTCCCTTTGTATCCATTTTGAAATTGACTAAGTAGACCACAAAAAAGACAATGAAGACTTTACTAATATCGAATTAACTGGTAGAGGCTTGACAGACTGTGTAATTAAATAATGACAGTATGATTTCATTTGAGTATTAAATTAATATTACATTGGCAATGTTATACCAGCTGGTCAATATTTTAGTTACTTTGGTGTTGACATTTCCCCCTTGCATTTATTCAGATACAGAGGTATTTTTCCCACTAACTTTATTCATTTGAAAACATTTTAGGTATGCTTCAGATCTATTATGATAAGAAAAAAGTATATTTAATACTTTTTAACAACTTCAGTGAATTTTTCCTTATACCAACTTGTACTACTACAAAGCTATTATAGCTACAGTGTGTTATTTCACTGTTTTTTCAAGTGATTATATGAATAAAATACTGATTGTTAAATGTTTGCCAACACTGGGAAAACTCCCAGTCTTGACCATACGTAATTTTTAAAATCAACAAGGTAAAAATTGTAGAGCATCAGGATACTTAGAGACCATATAAAGAGTTGTTCTGCTACGCCTTTATTGGTTATTACAAAATAGCATTCCACACCATTCAGATATTACCTTATTAGTTTCTACCATCTGCTTGTGAGATTAAAATTTTAAAATATATCTGGATGGAGCTAAACCTCATGCTAGCTATTGAGGGAGAGGGCAGAAAGAATTTTAGCCAAAACCAAGGCATGGGCTTCCAAGGTGAGTGGAGCTATGATTTCTCATGTAACTTCTCTCAGGGCATAAATGATTGATAGTGATGACTTCTCATGACAATTCCATTACCTCGTTTTAGGTGGGTTTTATGGCCAGGGCCCTCTCTCTTTGTAGCCACTTGAAACAACAAGTTGACACAAGTTTTAGATAATGATTTTTTCACAGAAATGTTGCCAAGTATACATGTTCTATTTCTTCGGATAATGGAAAATACATCTTTCTAAGAAAGCCTTATACAGACCTTGGTGAGATTTACTCTAGTACAGTAGTTGACAACATTTGCAATTTATGTTCATATTTTGACCAAGATGAAAAAAATTATCAAATGATTGGTGAGTATTGAGGGGGCTTCAGGCCCATGAAGGGGAACATGACCAAGTATCTTCTAGAATAATACCAGAATCCTTTGGTAGTAGGGAATCTTTTTTTTTTTTTTTTTTAAAGATTTTATTTATTTATCTGAGAGAATGGGAGACAGCATGAGAGGGGAAGGGTCAGAGGGAGAAGCAGACCCCCCGCTGAGCAGGGAGCCCGATGTGGGACTCGATCCCGGGACTCCAGAATCATGACCTGAGCCGAAGGCAGTTGCTTAACCAACTGAGCCACCCAGGCGCCCAGTAGGGAATCTTTTTTACTTTTGATTAAGGAGAGTGAAAAACCAAGGAGAATTAATATTGAGTGTTTGCTATGTACCAGAAGCTCGTACATGTTATCTCATTTTGTACTCCTAGTTACCTTCTTCAAAGTTGATGTTTTTACAGATTCACAGGTGAGGAAACAAAGGTCCAGAGGAGTTAAGTAGTTTCTTGGATGTCAAACAGCTAGAAGGTGTCAGGTCGGAATGTCTGATTTTTAACAGTCATGAAATGAGAATTAGAAGTTTCTGTGATATTCCTATATCAAGATCTTTAACCATGAATAGTGACATATTTGTAGTTTTGTAAATAAAGGAAGAGTGATGTTAGTTGAGAGTTACTCAGTCATTTCAACAGATTTATTTTTGTTGCTATAAGATAAAGAATTAGGAAATGTTAGATACAGTGAATGGATTTATCGTTATCATACTCTAGGGAAGTATTATCTCAAATGAGAACTTACCATTATTGTGAGATACAAGTATTTACATTTATTTCTTCATTTCCTAGTTCATAAGACCACAACCATTTTGGGCATGTGATAAGTTAAAATTTAAAAAAATGTTGTTGGCTTAATGAAACTTTACCTAACTAATTGATAGACAGTTGAAAACAATTCAGCAAGGTGAATAGTAAAGAATGGGTTGTATAAGCCCTGTCATGGAGACTTAAAGTCTAATTAAGATAAACACATGCATAAGGAAATTCAAGTTAACAGTGTATACCCCTATCTGGTGGAAGGAGTCAGAGTAATTCAGGGATCAGTGTTAGATTGGGTTAATCAGTAAAAGCATCCTGGAGAAACTAAGCGTTTTTTCTCTGTAGGAAATAACTGTTCACACTCAGTTGTATGCCTGATTAGAGAGACTTGCCATCTTCAACTGTGCAAGCAGTAACTTCAGTTAGGTGCAGCCACTGTACTTTCTAAAGGAAAAGTAAGTGTTAGATCCTTTATCTAAAGAAAAAGGTAAGTGTTAGATCCTTGTTGCTCCCAGTGTGGTCAAAGGGCTGGCAACACTAGTATCACTGAGAGCTTATTAAGAAGTGGAGAATCTCAGGCCCCACTCTAAAACTACTGAATCTGAATTCGCATTTTAACAGTTGTCCCAGGTGATTCCTATGTTCATTAAAGTTTGAGAAGCACTGTGTTAGATACTGATCTTGGTATGTCCTCTTTGAAAGGCCAAAGTTTCTTCATAACTGTTTTCATTTTCTACAGTGACCTATTTCGTGTGTACACAGTTGAAAGTTGTCAGGAATGACACTCAAGTACCTAAACTGCTTTACCTAACCACTACAAATGAGAGCCGAGTGTTTATTACTGGTGAGCAATATCTTGGTTTATACTTTATTGGAGATGTAATATATTTTCTATTAATTAAATTAATTTTTACATCCCAACATTCAACCACAAGATAGCTTTGTTTTGACTTCCTTTATTGCTGTAAGGATGTTTTGGCAAAGAATATTTAGCCTATGAAATGTATTGCTTCTAGATTAATTATGACGGAAGCAATGATTTTGTGACTCACTGGAGAATTGCATTTATGTCCTTGGGTTAACTTTAATTCCTGCTTGATGTAAGGTAGATAATCATAAATTGCTTTGATAGATTGAAGACTGTTAGGCCCTATATCACAATATGGATACAATAAACAATATTTTTAAGTACTAACTAAAAATGTTCATCAAATTTTGGTCCCTGATCTCAGATTTTACTTATATAACAAGAAGAGTCTGATTAGTTGTCTACAAGCACATCATTTTTCTCCGTTCTTTCTGATAACGGGGTCAAAACAATAAAGTTTAAAGTTTCCAGATGAGTGAAGAAATAGTGTGGAGTGGTGTGCTTACTCACATACTACCATGTTGATAATTAAAAAATTTGTCAATAGAAGAGTCCTAGGAAGGATGTAATACACATCTTTGTCAATACCTCATTTTATAAATACTAACAATAATCACATGTAAATGATACTGTTAAATATGTTTTAAGAACATGAATTTAAATGCTGAGGTATATCATAGGCAATTCAGTTCAAACATGATGCCATACCTTTAGGTTAATACATGATTTAAAAATCAGTTTTTTAAGAAGATGCCAACCATTTTGATAGTTAGAAAAATCCAGATTATTAGTTTTCTTTTCATTATGACTTTGTCCTGTAGGCAGCTATGGTTTAGTCCACTTAAATTCTAATATGTCTGATTTCCTTCTCAACGTAGGATTGGTTTACTGTCTTTGATAATTTTTGTATACATATTAAGTGTAATCTGCTACACAGTGAATAAATGAACTTCTTTTCTTGGTGACACAAGAGATTATTTTGATATACTGTTTTTATACCAAAAAAGTCCATACAATTCATTACAGTGAGTTTTTTTTTCTCATTTTTTGGTTTTACCTTTCTTGCAAAAAGGTCATAGAGGCCAGCCATATACCAACGACACCAAGGTAAAAAACTTTATTCATTGGATTAAAACAAGGACCGATTCTGAGGAAGTGAAGAATACTGTTATTGGTGGATATTACCCCTATCCACCAGTGCCAGAGACATTTTCAAAGTATAGTAGTTCTGTCAAAGGTACTAATGTAATTATTCGTCATGTATGATATGTTTCTATGCCATACGTGTGATAGATATCATGAGCTAATATGTAGCAACACTTACTGATAAAAATTTTGTCTCTATGAAGATCTAAAAATACATGTCATGCCTCCTAAAGGTTAATATTTGGATTTTATTAGACTAGGAGAAGGGAGAACATAGATGATGACTAACTGGACATCATATCTTGATTCAATGTTATTGAGATCAAATCTGACTTTAGTAGATCCAACTCCTATGACATTACATACAGAGACTAAAGATATCAAGGAGACACTGGATAATTTGATAACAAAATACTGACACTGTATTATGCTACTCTTGTGGAATGATATATATTGGATATTACACAGTTGAGCGCTACCTTTAAATAAAAATGACACCAAAATAAATGAGGTGCAGAATAAGTACTGATGAGAGGCCTAACATTAATTTACTTTAGTAGAATTAAGATATGATGGTTGAAGAGTTTAATATAAGTATATTCTTTTTTTAAAAGCTGTGGGATAATTGCATGGTTTGGGGGAAAAAAGAGAAACCTTGAAATACTGATCTACCATCATCTAAATATTGGCATCCTCTTGTACTTCATAATGCCAGCAATATGTAGTATATGGTTGTATATGTTAAAATGTATATTTCTGTGCAGTGGCTAGGCAACACTTTATACTTTGAAATATGATGTGTAAATTACAGTTGACCCTTGAACAACACAGGTTTGAACTTTACAGATCCACTTATATGTGATTTGTTTCAATAAATACACATACAGTACTGTAAATGTTTTTTTCTTAGGATTTTCTTAATGTTTTCTTTTCCCTAGATTACTTTATTGTAAGAATACAGTATATAATATTTATAGAAAATATGTGTTAATCAACTGTTTATGTTGTTGATAAGGCTTCTGGTCAACAGTAGGCTCTTAGTAAAGTTTTGGGGGAGTCAAAATTTATACATGGATTTTTGACTGCAAGGGGTTTGGTGCCCCTAACCCCCCTGTTGTTCAGTGGTCAACCATACATTCAATATGCAAAATTTCTGTTTCAAATTAAGACTCCAGACTAGAGGACTGTATCGCAATTTAACTGATAACTATATTTTGCCTATTTTACAAAAATTGCATAAGGGGATGATGTCAAGCATCAACATAAATTTCACAAATTTAAGTTATGTAGCAAGTTTATGATTTCATGTTGTGAAATGACATTGCAAATCTAATTCTTATTTTTATCATTTCAGTTCTTTAAAACTTACAATTTCCCCGGAATTATTCTTTTGCAGTTGAGTCGCTCTTGACAGCTATAAGTGAAGTGAGGAAGGAGATTGAAGACTTGCAGTATAGGGAACAAAAGCGCATTGCAATTCAGGGAATAATTACGGTTATAAAGTATATCCCCCATGCCAGTGCAACTGAAAGTGCCTCAGCATCAGAAACACTTCGGGTATGGTGCCAGAGAATTAATAGTATATCTCTGAATGCACTGTGATCATGATTACAATTGGTACCTTGTACATTTTATTCAGAACTCACATGATGTAATGATGTAAACCTCAGAGGGAAAAAAAATCATTTATGTGTTTCGTTTGTTTCCTTTTTCTCTCATTTATTTTGGAGCAGGCTGGGCTGAAGTTCACAGCCTCTGATATTTCCCAAGGCCTTCAACACTTGGTATCTTATTTTTGCTTTCTGCATAATTTGAGCCTATTATGATTCTTTTTACTTAAATTCCCAGGTGGTATGTATGATTATATTCTTTCCATTCCTTTTGTCCAGGCCAGAACTATAGGAACACTTTCACAGGAAATTTTTATCGTCATATCTGGCATGGCAGTCTCACCCAGATTTTTTAAGACATAGCAATGACTCTTGTAGGATAAAGGCTCTAGTAGAAAAGGCCATTACTGGAATCTAGGCACAATCAAGACAAATGAGTTAATTTTTTCTGTGAATTTGTCTTTTAAAAACTTATTTCTAGGATTTCTGTTCATATGGAAATAGCATCTAATCCAACTTTTCAGTTATATTAGTATAAGAAGGACTTTTATTTACTTTCCTTTAAAAAATATTTTAATACCAGATGCATTAGGATAAATATAATCCTATCTATAAATCAGCTTTATGAAAGCACTTTTATGATTGCAAAAATGTTGTCATAACTCTTAAGATTATAAAAAATGGATAAACTAAAATTATAGTCTTTTAAGAAAAATAATTTTTGTGAATGTTTAAAATGTTTTCTCTAAATTTTTGGTTTTAGAATGCTAACCGACCCTCAACATCCCAAGCAGCTAGGAGAGAAAATCAAAGTCAGGAAAGAGATAATAATAAACGGCATCAAGATGATGATCCTATGAGCTCTCAGTGTTTTCAAACTGCATATACAAGCTTGAGCCCTACCAAGAAAAAAAGAATTCTGCAAGGGCCATATGCCAAACTGTAAGTCATTTGTATTAAGTATACACGTAGCATATTATTTTTTTTTTTATTTCTACCGTGTAAAATGACCAATTCCACTAGAAATGGTATTAGTTTTCTAGGGCTGCTAAAATCCAAGATCAAAGCATTGGCAGAGTGAGTTCCTTCTGAGGACTGCAAGGCAGAATCTCTTCCATACCTCTCCCCTAGCTTCTGGTGGTTTATGGCAATCTTTGGCATTCCTTGTCTTCTAGAAGCATCACTTCAATCTCTGTCTTCATTTTCACATGGCATTTTCCTTGTGTGCATACCTGTGTTCAAATTTTCCCTTCTTATAAAGACACCAGCCATATTAGACTAGGGACCTATTCTGGAGTACTGTTCTACTCCAGTAAGACCTCATCTTAATCAATTATATCTTCAGTGACCCTATTTCCAAAAAAGGTCTCATTCTGAGGGTTATTGAAGATGTAATTGGTTATGTATTGGTAGTCATATTGATACTTAGTAGGGACATGGTTCAGCCCATAACAGTCTGCCCTCTGACCCCTAAAAATTCATGTCCTTCTCACATGCAAAATATGTTCAACCCATCAGAACATCCCAGAAATCTTAACCCTTACTAACATCAACTCTAAGTCCAAACTCTCATCTGAACATCATCTAAATCATGTACTGTTGAAATGCAGGGTGATTTCATCCTGGGGCAAAATTCTTTACATCTGTGAACCTGTGAAACTAGACATGTTATCTGTCCAAAACACAATGATAAGACAGGCAGAGGATAAGCATTCCTATTTCAAAAGGGATAAATTGGAAAGAAAGGGGGTCATGCATCACAAGCAAGTTCAAAACCTAGCAGGACCAATTCCAATTGATTTCAAGCCTCCAGAATTATCCTCTCTGGCAGGATACTATATCTTCTGGGCCCACCAGGATGGTAGCCCCACTTCCTTGGCCCTGAGTGCTGCCCCTGCCCTCTGGAACTGAGGGATCATTGTCCCTTTTCTTGAAAGATAACACATGATCACTGCTGGTTATCTCTTATCAACTCATTTCCTGACTGTAGAATCCCAGAAATCGGATTTCATCCCACCTATGTCCCTTTCAGTCCAAGCTAGCAGCATGCCTACTGAGATGGTTGATGGGATCCACAAATCACAGGCCTTGGGCAAATGGTTGTCCAACAACACTGTTGGTGTTCCTTCCAGAGCAAGCTTTCTCATTTTTGCAGTATAGATAGGCTGAGAATTTTCCAAGTATCAAAATTTTGGTTCCTTTTTTCTTAACAATTTCTCAACTTCTCTCTCCCCTCTTGTATTTTACTATAAGCAACAAGGAGAAACCAGGCTTCACCTTCAACACTTTGCTTAAAAATCTCTTCAGCTAAATATGCAAGTTCACTGCATACAAGTTTCACCTGCTACCCAACAGAACACAATTCAGCAAAGACCTTTGCCACTTTATAACAAGGATCGCTTTTCATCCAGTTTCCAATAACCCATTCCTCATTGCTGTCTGAGACTTAACCGGAAGCACCTCTTACATTCATATTTCTAGCAACATTCTGTTCATAACAACATATATACTCTCAAAAAAACATACATATTCTCTAAGACAAAAAGCTTTCTCTCAGAACTCTTTCAGCCTCTATGTAATACTCAATTCCAAAGCCACTTCCACCTTTTAAATTATTTGTTACAGTAGCACTCCACTTCCTGGTACCCAAATCTGCATTCATTTTTTAGGGCTGCTATAATGAAGTACTAAAAACTGTATGACTTAAACAATGGAAACTTAAGACCTCACAGTTCTGTAAGCTAGAAGTCCAAGATCAAAGTTTCAGCAGGGTCAGTTTGTTTTGAGCACTGTGTGAAAGAATCTGCCCCTTGTCTCTCCCCTAGCATCTGGTGGTTTTCTGGCAATCTTTGACGTTCTGTGGCTTGTAGAAACCTCACCCCCAATCTGTGTCTATGTCCAAATTCCCCCTTTTTATAAGGACATCAGATACATTGGATTAGGGGCCCACCCACCCCAGTATGAACTTATTTTAACTAATTTATCTCTTCAGTGAAACTATCTCCAAATAAGATTACATTCTGAGATACTGGGGGTTGGGACTTCAACATGAATTTTGGGGGACATAATATAACCCATAACAGAACCCTCTTATCTGCCACGCTTGGCATGGACTACTTGACAATGAGTTTAAAATGAGGAACTACAAAAAAAAATACATTTTATTTAAATTTAAAATACTATAGCTTATATTTGTTGACCAGTTATTTTTTTTTATTTTTTTTAAAGATTTTATTTATTTATTTATTTGAGAGAGAGAGAATGAGAGACAGAGAGCATGAGAGGGAGGAGGGTCAGAGGGAGAAGCAGACTCCCTGCCGAGCAGGGAGCCCGATGCGGGACTCGATCCTGGGACTCCAGGATCATGACCTGAGCCGAAGGCAGTCGCTTAACCAACTGAGCCACCCAGGCGCCCTGTTGACCAGTTATTTAAGCATGAATCTTTCCTATATAAACTTTATCCATTATGAACTGTATATAATTAACATTTTTGGTTTTTCTGAAGCAGAAAGATAACCAAGACACTAATAAAGCAGTTGACGTATAGAATCATTTTAGATTTTAAGATTTTTTAAAACTCTAGTCTTTAATGGTAGTTGTGCCCAATCAGGGAACTGTTTTTGGAACTGTTTTGTATCCTGAGCTTATATTCAGCAACCTTGATAAATTCACTTATTCTGAGTTTGTAGGGTTTTTTTTTTTTAATTTTCTCTGTATAAGTCGTGTAATCTGCAAATACTTGTGGTTTATGTCTTCCTTTCCAATCATTTTGCTTTTATTTCTTTTTCTAGCATTATTGTACTGGTTAGGACCTCTACTACAGTGTTGAATACAACTGGTGGTAGAAACCACCTATGTCTCATTTCTTTTTTCTTTTTTTAGTGGTCTAAGGATATTTATTTTATTTTTTCACAGCTTTATTGAGATATAATTGACATATATTACTTTGTAAATTTAAGGTGTACAGTGTGATGATTTGATACATGTATGTATTGCAAAATAATTACCACAATAAGATTATTTAACACATCCATGACCTCACATAACTATTATTTTTTTATAGTAAGAACATTTAACATTTACTCTTAGTAACTTTCAAGTATGTATTACAGTACTGTTAACTGTAGTCACCATAATGTATGTAGGATCCCTAGAACTTATTGTGCCTCTCCTGGTAGGTACATCAATGTGTTCACCAACCACGAAGATCCACCAAGTCTTGATGTCCAGATTTTTGGGGAGTATTTCATTACTTAGGCATGATAGATTAAATTATTGGCCATGTGATTGAACTTGATCTTCAGCTCCCCTCCCCGTAATAGAGGTTAGGCTAGTTCGGTGTTTCAACCTTTGAGCCATATGCTTAATGTATCTGATAACAGTTCTTATCTTCAATCTGTCTAGGGGCTAACCATGAGTTACCTCATTAGCATAACGGAGGTACTCTTGTCACTATGGAAATTCTAAGGGTTTTTGAACCAGGAACGAGAGACAAAGACCAGATATGTTCTTTATTGTGCCATAGTTCTAAAGTTCAGCTGTTTTCTTTCTCAGCTGTAGAAAGCCCATTTGATTCTTTTTTAGATATTTACTTTTGAGGTTGTATATCTGTTTTGTCCATCTAGATCACCTGTTGATCTGCTTCTGTTGGTATAATAATAAGAAATATGACCATTTAAGAGCTTATATTAACATTTTAATACAAATGGTAGCTAGTGAACCATGGTGCTCTCTGTTAGATAGTAAAATGTAGTCAAAATCCATCTACTCATTCAAAAGTTAGCACTGAGAAATAAAATATAATCAACAGACATTAAAACTTCTTCAGTTCAGGGCGCCTGGGTGGCTCAGTCGTTAAGCGTCTGCCTTCGGCTCAGGTCATGATCCCAGGGTCCTGGGATCGAGTCCCACATCGGGCTCCCTCCTCAGGGGGAAGCCTGCTTCTCCCTCTCCCACTCCTGCTGCTTGTGTTCCTGCTCTCGCTATCTCTGTCTCTGTCAAATAAATAAATAAAATCTTTAAAAAAAAAACAAAAAGCAAACAAAAAAAAAACTTCTTCAGTTCATTCTCTTGGTAATATGTACTCTATAAAGAGAGAAAATTAATCACGCCATGGTTAGATGAATCCTTAAAAATCATTTTCAAAAAAATCATTTTCAATTCTCCTCCTAAGAAAAGCAGAAGACACCATAGGAAAAGTTTTTAAATAATGGTTGTTGCCTGAAAAGCATTTGCTAATTTGAATTAATGATCACAAAGACTTTAGCATTTTTGATCATTGTAAATTATTGCTAATTTGCTTATATTAGCAATTTCTCAAAGAAATTCTATATTCTGGTCCTTTTTGTATAGTATCTTCTGCTTTTCTTAGGTAGAAGGCACTGAAAATATTCCTTCATTTAATTGTATAGAGAATTTCAATATACAGTGTAAAATTATTTATATTACATCATTTGAACGTCAACATCCCAGTGAGGAAGGCACAGGATAATTATTTCAATTTTATAAAAGAGAAATCTGAGATTCAGAAAAGATAAAATATAGGGTTTATACATATGTGTATGTATATTAAGTACTTTTAATTTCTGTGCATGAAAGATACTTTCTAAGACCTCAATAATGTTAATTATAATCCTGATATAAAGATGAGAGAATGACATTCTATAGAATCTGTATGACATTTACCTAAGGTCAATAAGTTGACAAAAGCGCAAGATTAGAGTACAACTTAGAGTCTCTGACATAATTTTTATAATATTCTGCCACTACCCAGCATATGCAATGTTCTCTTCCTATAGCTCTCTTTTCCCTCTCTTCCTCAGTTATTTTTCTACACTTATCTTTTCACTTTTCATCTCTCTTTTTTCATTTTCCTCAGTTGATACCTGTAGACATTGTATACCTCCACTTCTGTCATTTATCCCCTCATCTTTAAGACATTTAAGTCCTACAAATGGATGATTACATATTCCAGTAAAAATCTCCTAAGCTACTTTTTAAAAGTTCTGTACAATGTAGTGGTGCTGTTAGGGTTTTGAAAACTATTTCTTCTAATTTGTTTCAGATGGAAAAAGTCACTTCCTAATCATATGTATTAAAAAGTAGATACATGCTGTTTAAGGATCTCAAAATACATGTAATTTAACTATTCTTTAGTTAGATTTCTTTCACAGGTGATGTTTTCAGCTTTCTAATTTCTAGAAATACCATGTTTTCAATGACTGAAAGAAGTTCAAATTACAACTATAAAATATGTTTTTATTTGCTGGGGTTTAAAGGTAAATAAATGGATGCACGCTTCCTTCATAAAAGCTACTTCTTTTTAGTTCATTAATAACTCATTAGCAAAATAACGAATACTACCATTATAAGAAAAAATCCATTGATAAAATAAGTTGAGCAATATTACGTGGCATTCAACAATATGACATTCTGTTTTACTTTATGCTTTTAGTTTTGGAAATGCAGTAGAAAAAACTCATCACAGAAATATGCTAATAGCCCACAAGGTGGAAATCTTTCCTTATAAAAGTAGGCTTCTCCTCAGTTTCAGAATAAGATACTTCCCTTTTCCTCCATTTATTTCAGTTCAATAAATAGTTATTGAGTAGATAGTATATAGAGATACAAAAATAAAGTCTATACTTTTGTAGACTTTATAACAGAGCTTATAGCAGAATCTGTTGGAAGAGACAGACTCATAAACCTGTAATTTGGACACAGAGTGATGAATGCTGTGATAGAAGTTTATTCATGGTGCTATGAGAGCAACAGCATGTACAAGGAGTAGTGAGCTTTGACTAGAGATCAAGGATGGCTTCTTTTAGGAATTAATGCTTGAGTTAAATTTCAAAGGAGGAATACGAGTTTGAAGCAGCATGAGACTTACAGAAAACTTTGAAAAGAGGCTGGAGGCTGGACAGTTAGGCCAGACAGTTTCCCAGATATATATATATATATCTCCATCCATCCATCTTTAGTTGCTATTTAATAAAGTTAAATACTTCCTTTTGTGGAATACGCCTTATTGAAAGAACATTTAAATCTGCAGTAGTATTTGGGGTGCCTGGGTGGCTTAATCGGTTAAGCATCGGATTCTTGGTTTTGCCTCAAGTCATGATCTCAGGGTTGTGAGATCAAGCCCTCTTTTGGGCTCTGTGCTGAGCGGGGAGTCTGCTTGGGATTCTTTCCCTCTTTCTCTCCCTCCCCCTTTGCCCCTCCCCCTACTCGCTTGCTCTCTCTCTTCCTCTCAAGTAAATAAATAAATACAATCTTTAAAAAATCTGTTGCAGGGGCGCCTGGGTGGCTCAGTTGGTTAAGCGACTGCCTTCGGCTCAGGTCATGATCCTGGAGTCCCGGGATCGAGTCCCGCATCAGGCTCTCTGCTCGGCAGGGAGTCTGCTTCTCCCTCTGACGCTCCTCCCTCTCATGCTCTCCGTCTCTCATTCTCTCTCTCAAATAAATAAATAAAATCTTAAAAAAAAAAATTATAAAAAATCTGTTGCAGTAGTTGAACTAAGTTATATATGCATATTTGTTCCTAACTTGTATATATTTTTCCTTAAATTTTTAGTGCATTACTTTAAGAAACTAAACCTATATATTTTGCAAACTGATTGAATTAGAATAAATTCTGAATGGAACCAATTAGGTTTTTTTCATTCAAGTGTCTTTTTGTAATTATTTGTTATCTTTTTTCCATCTTTTATAGGGTTCCCGTACCTCAGCCAGAAACTTCTGCACAGACAAAAGGAAATAAACCAGACATGCCAAGCATTTTCCAACGTATGTTGCTTTGATGATGATTATTATTTATGAAATCTTTATGGAACATTATTATATACAGATTACTATTTGATTTTATTCTGCATTTTTGTGTCATGCCTCTCTCTAGCATAATATAAGTACTTTAAATAGATATATAATGTTACTTTTTTTTGTTTTTTATTTACATTAGTTTAGGTCCTTGTCAAAAGTACTGGTCTCAATTTTAAAACAATTTGGTATCATCACCAAAGTGAAAGTAAATATAAACAAGCCTATATTTACCAATTTGGTTATTTGATAATACATCCCTTCAAATATAGGGATTTTTAATTTTTAATTACCAGAAGAATAAAGTAGGAAGTTTAATTTTTATTTGAAAATAAATAAAGCTTAAAAGGTAGTTTTAGTTCCTTTCTTTGCTAATGGGTTGACTGGTTTGAATATTGGGTTCATTTCTGAAGAAATTTCATAATACTATTTAGTTCCTTAGAGTGGTTTAAATCTGATCTTATAAGGGTCATCTCTCTGGACTAAACTTTTTAACATTTTATGTCTCTCTTGCTTTTTGAGTTATTCTTATCTTGAGGTTGACTTCTTGTCAATCTGGCAGATCAAGAATCCACAAAAGGATCTAAAGTCTGCATCCCCCCCCAAAAAAAATTAAAACAAAGAAAATAAGGGGGGAAATCATTATAATATAAATATATGACCAAGCTCAGAACAAGAATGAAAAATCCTTAGGTGCCAAAAACAAAAGAATTTAAATTTAGCAGTGAGTAAGACTAAAACTAAAACTGCTCTCAGGCATTTCAGAACTAGATAGAGGCCTAATTGATTGTGGGCTGAGGTGTAATAACCATATGGAAAGGAGGGTCCAGACCACAAACCTCGTACATGTGAAGTAGGACTAATATAGAATTGGAAGGTTATGAAAGACCAGAGAAAGTAGGCCCATCAGCATGGGGAAGTGTCAAGGAGCTTCCTGTATCCTCTGGGCAATGGTTGGGAAAAAGTCCCACCTGAGAGAAATTGAAATCCCAGACCTGTGCAGCATTGAGGTGTGGTCACCGTTCAATTGACTATAATGGTGAGGACACTGAGCTAAGGAGTTAACAGTAGCATCTGGTCTGAAATCAGTGAAACCCTTAAAGTTTTGACAAAGGTAAGTGTGAAACTGCCTCAAAGGGAGACATCTTACAACCTAGGGTATTTGGGACTCCTATAGAAAATGTCTACAGAAGATGAATTCATGGTTAAAAAATTACAAACGTTCCAAGAAAATGAACTTCTTTGAGGCAATGTGATCAGATGTAATGTGGGAAAATTTATAGCCTAGGAACTAGAAATACTAAACCAATCAGAAAGAGGGTTTAAAATAAATACGTGTTTAAAAAGTTAAAGGAATGAACAGAAACTGTAAGTTAAATATATAAATACATATTAAATGTATATTAAATTTAAATTTGATTTAATAATTATATATTAAATTTATATTTAATAAAATATATATTAAACATGACACATTTAACTTAATATAGTTATTAAGTTAAATATATAAATTTAATTTATATATTTAATATATAGTTATTAAAATAATGATATATATTTATAATGTATAAATTAATTATATGTATTTATCAAATTAAATATATAAACTTAATGTATAATTTATTAAATTAAATATATTAATTTAATATATTAAATATATGCTTTGAAGAGGAAGCAAATGAAGAGATAATTAGTACATTTGGAAGATAGATACAGAGGAAATCACACCAGAGATAGGTAAAGAGATTGGAAAGGTAAAAAAGAAGTTGGGAAACATGGTGGATAGGGTGAGAAAGTTCAATTTATATCTAAGAAAAGTTCCAGGAGGACATACTAGAGATAATCAGGAAGAAGCAATATTTGAAGAGGTACATTTTCAAAATTAAGGATATATATGAATCATTAGATTGAAGGATCACAAAGAATCCTAAGCAGAAAAATTAAATAAATTTATATGCAGACCTATCATAGTGAACCTGCACAGCATCACAGATAGTAAGTAAATGTCTTAAAAACTGCCAGAAAGAAAATGCCTATTTATCTACAAAAGGAATATAATTAGACTAGAAGATTTCTTTTTTTTTTTTTAAAGATTTTTTTTTTTTTAATTTTGTTTATTTGACATAGTGACAGAGAGAGAGGGAACACAAGCAGGGGGAGTAGGAGAGGGAGAAGCAGGCTTCCGGCTGAGCAGGGAGCCGGATGCGGGGCTCGATCCCAGGACGCTGGGATCACGACCTGAGCTGAAGGCAGACGCTTAACCGCCTGAGCCACCCAGGCGCCCCAGACTGGAAGATTTCTTATCAGTGACAATAGATGCCTGAGATAATGGAATAATATCTTCAAAATGTTGAAAGAAAATATTTTCCAACCTAGAATTCTATGTTGAAATGAACTTTGAGGGTGAAATAAATATATTTTTAGATATTCAGAGACTATGAGAATTATTATTCATATTGTCTCAATAAGTGAGTTACTAAAGAATTTTGAAAGAAGTAAAATGAAACCAAAAAGAGGTATCAAACTGCAAGAAGAAATGGTGAGCTTAGAAGTTGGTAAAATATTGGTAAATATAAATAAAAACAGGCAGTAAAAATTAATAACAATGGTAAATAATTTCATGGGATTTGAAATAAAGTAAAACTAAAATACTATTTAAAATAAGATGGGTGGGAAGATGAGAATTAAAGCATTCTTAGGTTATTGAATCTTTATGGAGAAAAGTAGTGGTTGATGAACTGTAGGCTTTGTAAATTCAAACATGAAATTTAAAATTTTAAGGGCATGCTAAAAGAATAGGTATAGAGGGTATAACTTTCAAAGCAGCAGTACAGAAAAAAAGGGGGAATTGTGAAAATTTAATCAGGACAGTGGAAGGTGGAAAAGAAGAAAAAAAGAAAGGAAAAGCATGATTAAGAAAAAACACAAAATAACATAACTGAGGGGCACCTGGGTGGCTCAGTTTGTTAAGCATCTGCCTTCAGCTCAGGTCATGATCCCTGAGTCCTGGGATCAGGTCCCACATTGGGCTTCGGCTCAGCAGGGAGCCTGCTTCTCCCTCTGACCCTCTCCCCTCTCATGCTGTTTCTCTCTCTCTCTCTCAAATAAATAAATAAAATCTTAAAAAAAAATAACTGAAATAGTTCCAAATACATCAGTAATTTCAATAAATGTAAACATGTTAAACTTTCAGGTATCAGTTTTAAAAATTTAATCTAGTTATATGTTGTATATAAGAGACACTTAAGCAAATTTATATAGAAAGGTTGAAAATAAAGGAATGGCAAAAAATATATACCTGACTTATCCTAAGGAAAGGTGGTATAGCAATATTAATATGAGATAAAATATGAAGCAGAAACTGTAAATAAAGATAAAACAATATAGAATGATAAAAGTGACATTCTACCCAGAAGATAATAACAAACAGGAATGTATACATCTAATAATATAACCTCAAACTGTAAATAACCTGGTAGATTTATTTTTTTAATTTAAAGATTTTTTTTATTTAAAGATTTTATTTATTTGTTTGTTTATCAGAGAGAGAAATGTGTACACAAGCAGGGGGAGCAGTAGGCAGAGGGAGAGGGAGAAGCAGGCTCCCCACTGAGCAGGGATCCCAATGCAGACTTGATCCCAGGACCAAACCGAAGGCAGACGCTTAACCAACTGAGCCACGCAGGCATCCCAACCCAGTAGATTTAAAAGGAGCAATTGACAAATTTATGGTCATAACACACTCCTCTCTTAAAGTAATAGAACAAGGAGACAAAAAATTATTTAATAGGAAAGCACACATATATTGATGAAAGCCAGTGATAAAAAACAATCTTAAAAGAAGCCAAAGGGAAAAGATAAAAGACACATTATATACAGAGGAACAAAGACAAGTATAACAACAGATTTCTCTTCAGAAAGTATATTATCCAAAAGACAATGAAAAGACCTGTAAACCTAGAGTTCTATACACAGTGAATATATCTTTTAAAATAGACAAAATAAAGATCAAAACAGAAACTGAGAGAATTCATCACCACCAGACCTGCACAATGAAAAATAATAAAGGAAGTTCTTCAGGCAGAAAAATAATAATACAGATGGAAATTTAGATCTAAATAAAGGAAAGCACCAGAAATAGTAAATGTACAGGTAAAATAAAATATATTTTCTCAATTTTTATCTCTTTTAAATGAAAAATAATAAAAATGTAAATTTTGTAGTTTATATAGACGTAAAATGTATGACAACAAGTGCACAAAGGCAAGAGAGGATATGGAGATATACCGTTAGGAAGTTCTTACACTATATGCACAAAATGGCATAAAATCCCTTGGATGTAGACTGTAATAAATTAAAGTTGTATATTACAAATCCTATAGCAACCCCTAAAAAAAAAAATAGCTAATATAAGTCAACGGTAGAGCTAAATGGAATTATTTTTTAAAATATTCAATCCAAGAGAAGGCAGAACAAGAGAAAAAGGGACATAAAGAACAAATGAGTCAAATAGAAAAAATAGCAAAATAACAAATTGCAGCCCTGTCATACTGTTAATTACATTAAAATAAATAGTATGAACACCCCAGTAAAAAAGCAGAGATTATCATATTGGATAAAAAAGTAAGACCCAGCTATATACCATCTCAAAAGACCCTCTAGGGGCACCTGGGTGGCTCAGTCGGTTATGCGTCTACCTTTGGCTCAGTTCATTATCCTGGGGTCCTGGGATGGAGCCCCACATTGGGCTCCCTGCTCAATGGGAGGCCTGCTTCTCCCTCTCTCTCTCAAATAATAAAATCTTTAAAAAAATAAAAGAGATCCACTTTAAACTTAAAGATACAATATAAAAAGATGGAAAATATATAGCATGTAAAAGAAAGCTGGAACGGCTATACTTACATCATCAAAGTAGATTTCAGAGCAGGGAATTAAGAAGAATATTACAGGGGCGCCTGGGTGGCTCAGTT